TGTTGAGAATTCTCTGTTTAGATCTGTACTCCATTTTTAAATTGGATTATTTGGTATTTTGATGTCTAGTTTCTTGAGTTCTTTATATATTTTGGAGATCAGCCCTTTGTCAGATGTGGGGTTGGTGAAGATCTTTCCCCATTCTCTAGGCTGCTGTTTTGTCCTTTTGATAGTGTCTTTTGCTTTACAAAAGCTTTTCACTTTAATGAAGTCCTATTTATTAATTGTTGATCTCAGTATTTATAAAACTGGTGTTCTATTCATAAAGTTGTCTTCTGTGCCAGTGCGTTCATAGGTACTTCCCATTTGCACTTCTATTAGATTCAGTTAATTGGACTTATGTTTAGATCCTTGGTCCTCTTGGACTTGAGTGTTGTACAAGGTGATAGATATGGATCTACTTGCGTTCTTTTACATGTTGACATCCAGTTATACTGGCACCATTTGTTGCAGATGCTTTTTCTGTTGTATAATTTTGACTTCTTTGTAAAAAAAAATCAGGTGTTCATAGGTGTGTGGATTTACATCAGGGTTTTCAATTCTATTCCATTGATCCACCTGTCTTTTTTTATGCCAATACCATAAGGTTTTTATTACTATTGTTTGAAATCCAGGGATGATGGTGCCTCCAAAAGTTCCCTTATTGTTCATAATTGTTTTTATCTATACTGGGTTTTTTTATTTTTCCATATGAAGTTGAGTATTGTTCTTTTGAGGTCTGTGAATTGTTCTGGAATTTTGATGGGGATTGCATTGAATCTGTAGATTGCTTTTGGTAAGATTGCCATTTTTACTATGTTAATCCTACCTGTCCATGAGCATAGGAGATCTTTCCATCTTCTGATATCTTCTCTAATTTCTTTCTTCGAAGACTTAAAGTTTTTGTCATACAGGTGTTTCACTTGTTTGGTTACAGTTAGTTACTCACAGATATTTTATATTACTTGTGACTTTTGTAAAGGGTGTTGTTTCCCTGATTTCTTTCTTAGCCCATTTATCATTTGTATATAAGAAGAATACAAGACTATTCTTGTATCCAGCCACATTACTGAAGGTGTTTATTGGCTGTAGAATTTTACCAGGAGCTCTCAGGGCTCACTTGTGTATACTATCATATCTGCAAATAGTGAAAGTTTGACTTCTTCCTTTCCAATTCCAATGTTTTCTCCACATGTTAGATTATTTTGGGAGGGGGGCTCTTGGAGGAATTTATTGATTTTGTTTTTCATTTTTTTTGTTTGTCTTTTCCTTGATTTCTCTGAGAGAATTTTTCATTTCCTCTGTAAGGGCCTCTATCATCTTCATAAGTTTGTGTAAGGTCATTTTCTTATGCTTCAGTTGTGTTGGAATGTTCAGATCTTGCTGTCATAGAATCACTGGGTTCTGGTGGTCTCAAAACCAAAACACCACTTGACAGTGAAATCCAACCAGTAAAGAGTGGAAAAGCTGAAGAAGTCATAGTAGGAGGACTGTGACGAGGCTCAGCTTGTACATGGGCTCGGTACGGAATCTGTGGGATTAAAGTTTCAGAATGGGATGTGAATGTTAGGAACATGGACACTGCACGTTGTAGAGCAAAACTAGGAGAAGAAATGGGGTTGGGAATGTGAGTACTAGAGGTTTCAGCTTCAAAGCAGAGAGCTAATAGAGCCTAAACTACATAGTATATACTGCTGAAACTTCAGTGAGTGATTGTCGCAATTAGTTTGATAAAAGCAGTGAATAGTAATTGTCAGAACAAATTGAAATAATTTTTATCTACTTTTAAAATAAATATTCCAAAATATGCAAGTTAAATACCAATTTATGTGTTAGTCACACTTAATAGATGTTTCCATTTAAATTAATTATAAGTTTGCTTCAGATGGTATATACTAAGAAGAAAAAGTTCAGAGAAAAAAAGCTAACAAATGCCAGTTCATTCTCCTCTGTCCATGTCAGGACATAAAAGTTCCCACGTGCAGAGGAAGGCGTTATGTTCTGCTCAGAGACAATCGTGGTCCTGATGTTAGTGTCACTTGCTTTAAATAGATGTAAAAATGTGGTAGTCCTAGTAATTCATACTTTTATGAATCTGTTTGCCTATCTTGTGATATTCTCTAACACAGAGCTTCATCAACAGACATTATGTTTAGTCTTTATAAAAATTATATTCAGTGCATTGCTTCCTTTGTTTGTTTTAGACAGTGTCTAACTATGTGGCCCTGTCTGGCCTGGAGCATGCTCTGTAGACCAGGCTGGCACCTGCCTCTGCCTCCTGAGTGCTGATATTAAAGATGCTCTGCATATTGCTTCTTTAGCTTAGCATTATTTTAGAGATTTATTTTGAGATGTTTCTCGAATGTTTTTTGATGTTTTTGTTATCTATACAACCTATTTATTAATAAAATTTATTAATCAATTTCAGTAGACATTTGTTTCCTTTTTACTAGCATGTTTTGATAAACCTCTTTCCTATTTTTGTTGCTTTTATGTGCTGGCATGCAGAGGACAGTGTTTGGGAGTTGGGTTTCTCTTTCCACTATGTGGGTTCTAGGGATTGAATTCAGGTTTTCATGTTTGGCAGCAAGTACCTTTACACAACTGAGCCTTCTTACCAGCCCTTGTATTGGGTTTTGTTAGTGGTGGTTGGTTGGTTGGTCCCCCTCCTCCCTACACAGACAGGATCTCCCTACTGCCCTGACTGGCCTGGAATTATATAGAATCACTGAGATACATTTGCTTCTGCCTCCTGAGTGCTAGTATCAAAGGCATTTGCCACCATGTCAGCCCTTGTTTTTTTTTTTTTTTGGTTTGTTTTTTGTTTTTTGTTTTTCTTTTCAGTGGTGGTGCCCAGTATTAGGCAACTAACACTCTGGCACTTTACTGCCTCACAGACCTGTTTAGTTTTTGAAGCAGGGTCTTAAAATATTTTTTCAAGCTGGCCTGCAATTCACTTTGTAGCCTGTGTGGGCCAAGAACTCACTGCACTCTTCCTGCTTCAGCCTTCTGCTACTGGGATTACAGGCACAGCCAAGGTGCCCAACAGTAAATCTAGTCTTATATTCTTTTACTTTTATTTATGTGTATAGTCACTGTGTGTATGAAACCTGAGTGTAGTTGCTGTTGGAGCCAGAGAAGGTGTCATATCCTTTGGAGCTATAGTTACGGGCAGTTATAAACTGCTTAGTACCTGAGAACCAAACCTTGCTCCTCTGGAGCAAGCACTCTTAGCCCCCAAATCATCTCTCCATTCCCAGTTTTTTTTTTCCCTAAACTTAGGTTATATGGGTAAACGTAAGAAACATTTACTTAAGGTAACAAAGAAACAGTGGCGTTGGTTTCTCTTTGTGCTTTGATTTTTTTTCAATTTTATAAACATTAAAACTTTTTAAAATTTAAGCTTTTGTCCCTTTGTATATATGTATTTTGTCAGTATTCTGTCTGTAAATGTATAGTAAGATGTTTGTAATAATATTTCCTTACTGTTAGTATTTATTTCTGGGTGATGGAGTGTCACGTCATCCTTAAACATTTTAGCTTATTTATTGTACTGATTGTATTTTTTCATGCATTTTATAATAGCAGTAGGGGAATTGTCTTAGTTACTTTTCTTTTGCTATGGTTAAAATGCCATAACCAAGATGACTTGTTAAAGAAAGCACTTAATTGAGCTTTTAGAGGGTTAGAGTCTGTGATGCAGAATAAAACGATGGTGGCAAGAAAAACTGAGAGCTCACATTTTGATCCAAAAGAAGGGAGAGAAAAAGAGCACACTGGGAAAGTCTTAACCTCAAAACCCGCTCTGAGTGACACCTCCTCCAACAAGGCCATACATTCTAATTCTTCCCAAACAGTTCTACCAATTGGAGACGAAGTACTCAAATATATGAACCCATGGGGGCCATTCTCAAACGACCACAGTGGGTTTTCTTTCTTTTTTTTTTTTTTTTTAAATGACTGTTTTAATTGATTGTGATTACTCAGTAGTATATGAATAAGCATGAGGTGCAGGCAGGACTATAACTTATTTCTGTTGGGGGCACACAACTATATGAGTCTGTACACTTGTGCATGTGCATATGAATGGAGGCCAGAGGCCAACATCAGGTGTCTCTGTTTGTTGTTTGGCACTTTTCTGGTTTGAGACAGGATCTGTCACTTAACTTAGAACTCATACTTTTGGATAGACTGACTGGCCAGCCCCATGGGACCTGCCCGCACCCTTCCCCCACTGCGATTGGAGTTGCAGAGAGGTGACTCCACACCTGGCTTTTATAGGAGTGCTAAGGATCTGAAGTTAGACTCTCATGATTGCTCAGCAGGTATTTTTTCCCACTGAGCCATCATCACTCCAGCTCTACAAGTATTTTGTATTTTAGCTTTCTTGAACAATTGATTAAATCAAAAGAAATACTGATATTAAAATATTTATTCTTTGAAAATTTCATACACATATAATCTTGATATCTACCCCAAATTCTCCCTTCACTCCCTCCAGGTCTCCCCAGTGTGCGTGCATGCTTATGCGTACACATGTTAGTTCTCTTTTTCCACTGTGTGGGTCCCAGTGATAGAATTCAGGTGGCCAGGCTTGTACAGCAAGCACTTTTACTCACTGAGCCATACCTGCTCAGATATTTTCTTTTAGTTATTATCCCTTTGTTGGAACTTGCCTTCAGTTTGTCATTAATGAGTAGAAGTTATTGTGAGCTATTAAGTCCCTTCATAGCAGAAACCCCATGGCTTAGATTGTTATATAGAAGAGGTTGGCAGGAGGCTACAGAAGCTCCAAGTAGATGTCTGTATCCCAGGGTTGTGTAGTCGGCCTCCCCATTGTGAGTTATCACATGCTCAGTGGGCCCAGATATAAAGTATGCTTGCGAGAATAGCATGTGCCTACCTCCCTATATTCCTGGTTGTTTATTGAAAATCTTTGAACTGGATTGTATCATAAATAGAAGAATACAAGATGTTCTGTTTTGTCGTTTCGGTGAAAATATGGTCTGTTTATTTTGTAGGTATGACCTGACTTCTAGGGAATGGCTTCCATTAAACCATTCTGTGAACAGTGTGGTTGTAAGATATGGTCATTCTTTGGCATTACATAAGGTAAACTATCTTAACTCTTTACCAAGCAAGAAATCCAACTCTTTCTGTTTCTTTATGTCGTTGAGTCTTCAGCTTTAGTTTTAATTGGTATAAACTTTGGTGTGGTGGGGGTAATTAGAAATTGAAGTTGGAACTATTTTAATCTGTGGTATTATACTGGGATACTATGATTACAGTGCCAAGTGGTTAAGAATGAAGGTTACAAAGTGTCAGTGAACCCCATGCCTATTAGCAAGTTTAGCCACATTGCAATATGACTGAGTCATCTTTTTTATTTCCTTGTTTCTGTGCATATGTTGTAGGATGAGGCAACTTTATTTTTCAAGTAATTTAATTCTGTAACACAATTCATGTGAAGGTGTTTTAGAGAGATAAAGAATGTGATTTTGCCAGGCATTGGTGGCACACACCTTTAATCCCAGCACTAGGGGGAAGGAGAGGCTGGTAGATCTCTGTGAGTTTGAGGTCAGCCTGGTCTACAAGAGCTAGTTCCAGGACAGCCAGGTCTGTTACACAAATAAACTATATA